CAGCACTGATTACGCCAAAATTGGCTGCCAAAGACCGGGATAAGCGAACTGCTGCTCAGCGCCTCGGCTCCTCGCACGTTCTCGCAAAGGGATGATGCACGAGGCGTGATGGCAGGCCAGTGGGCCGTCCCTCCTCGTAATTGCAAGGTGTGGTGAGTCCGAATTTGCGTGCATGAGCTCTTATTGCGACGCTTCGCGCAACCCTTTGCGCATCGTACATATATGTATGTATGCATGCATGCATGCATGCATGAATGTTTTTATGTATATACATGTATATATGTATATGTATATATGCATATCTATATTCACATGTATACATATATGTATGTTTGCATGCATGTATGTATGTATGCAAATAAGTACGTAATTGATGTATGTATGCATGTACGTTTGTATGTATGTATGTACGTATGTATGTATGTAGGTATGCAATTATGTATGTATACATGCATTATGTATGTATGCATGCGTGCATGTATGTATGTATACATGCATGTATGTATGTATGCACGTATGCATGTATGTATGAGTGTATGTTGATATGTATACATATACACACACGTGTGTATGTATGCATGTATGTATGTATGTGTATGTATGTATGTAGCTATGTATGTATGTTTGCACAGGTATATGTATATGTATATGCATATGTATATGTATATGTACATGTATATCTACTGTATATGTATATGTATATGCATTTCTGTATGTGTATGTGTATGTATATGTATATGTATACGTATATGTATGGGTATATGTATAGGTATATGTATATGTATGTGTATATGCTTGTGTAAACGTATATGTATATCTATATGTATGTGTATGTGTACATATTTTTATGTACATGTATATGTATACGTGTATGAATATGTATATGTGTATGTATGTATGTATATGTATACGTATTTGTATATGCATATGTGTATGTATATGTATATGTATACGTGTACGTATATGTATATGTGTATGTATATGTAGAAGTGTATGTATATGTTTATGTGTATGTTTATGCATATGTATATGTATATGCATATGTATATGTATATGTATATGCATATGTATATGTTTATGTATATGTATATGTATATGTATATGTATATGTATATGTATATGTAAGTGTAAGTGTAAGTGTATGTGTAAGTGTAATTGTAACTGTATATGTGTATATATATGTATACGTATGTGTATATGTATATGTATATGTATATGTATATGTGTACGTATATGTATAGGTATAGGTATATGTATGTGTATATGTATGTGTATGTGTATATGTAAATGTATATGTATATGTATACGCATATGTATATGTATATGTGTATGTGCATGTATATATACACACATATATATACACATATTATATATATGTATATGTACATATATATATATACATGTATATGTATATGTATATGTATATGTATATGTATATGCATATGCATTTGTACATGTATAGGTATATATATATTTATGCATATGTTTATGTTTTTATATGAATTATATATATGTATGTATGTATGTATGTATTTATGTATGTATGTATGTATGTATGTATGTACGTATGTATGTATGTATGTATGTATGTATGTATATATATATATATATATATATATATATATATTTATATATATATCGGAGTAGGCCAGGGGTGGGGGCCAGAACTGCTACCTCTGGTTCGCATGGGGGGCCAGGTGGGCCTTGAGGGCTCCAAGAGGGTTCAGAAGGGGCCCCAGACCCCCAGAAGCTCCCAAGCTGACCCAAGAGGCGCCCAAAGCGCCTCAGGTTGCCTGGAAGGTGGCTGAAGAGCGCACTGAGACGGCTTCGGACGGGCCACGAGCGCTCGAAGACAGCCCAAAAGTGCTCCTAGACGGCCACAAAGGCATTCAAGACGGTCCAAGAGGCCGAAGGCCCTCCAAGGGCAAAAATCAAGCATTTCCTATGGGGAAGTATATTTGCTTTTCAGTCCTACCAGCGGTCGCGACGGCCCCAGAGGCTCCCAAAATGAGCCCCAAAACGGTCCAAGAGGCCCCCAAGAGGGATCCCAGACGGCCTGAAGAGAGCTTCAAGCAGCACAAGAGAGGTTCAACACGGCCCAAGAGAGTACCCAGGAACCCCGAGGGGGTCACCGGAGGACCCCTACATGGTCGGAGAGGGCCCCCCGAGGGCCCCAAGACGGGCTCAGGTCCCCATTACGGGCGAAGAGGGACCCGGAACGGCCGAACTGGTCTCCCAGAGGGTCCAAAAAAGGCCTCCCAGAAATCCCTGAAGACGGTCCAGGAGGCCGCTGAGAAGGCTCCCAGATGCAAAACTATTTTTTCCTATGGAAAAACATTATTCGCTTCTTATGTTCCATCGACGGCCACGTCGGCCCCAAAGGCTTCCCAACTCAGGCCCTCAAGAGGGCTCCAAGACAGCCTCAAGAGAGCGTCGAGCAGCACAAGAGAGCTCAAAAACAGCCCGAGAGAGTCCCCAGGGGTCCCAGGGAGCCACCGGAGGATTCCTACACGGTCGGAGAGGGCTCCATGAGGGCCCCAAGACGGCCTAGCTACCCATGACATGCCAAGAGGGGCTTGGGACAGCCGAAATGGGCTCCCAGGCGGGCCACAAGGCCCAAAAGGACCCCCCCGCGACTGTCCAAGAGGCTGCTGAGAAGGCCCTCCACAGTCAAAATCAAGCGTTCCTATGGAAAAGCGTATATTTCTGGGAGCTTCGCTTTTCAGTTCTACCAGCGGTCGCGACGGCTCACGAGGTCACCAAAATGGGCCCCAGACGGCCCCAGAGGCCCAAAAGAGGGTTCCAAAATGGGCTGAAGAGAGCTTCAAGCGACACAGAAGAGCTACAACATGGCCCAAGAGAGCCCTCAGGAAGCCCGAGGGGGCCATCATAGGATTCCTTCATGGTCGGAGAGGGCCCCAGGAGGGGGGCTGAGCTTTCCACGACGAGCCGAGAGGGACCAGGAACGGCCGAAACGGGCCCTCAGACGGGCCAACAAAGGCCCCAAAGGACTACAAAAGAAGGCCCAGAGAAGCTCCAGAGACTGCCACAATGCTTCCAAAAAGGCTCCCCGCACGCGTTCCAGTAGGCACCCGTGTATTGGGTGCGTTGAGAGAAAGGAGGAGGAGGAGGAGGAGGAGGAGGAGGAGGAGGAGGAGGAGGAGGAGGAGGAGGAGGAGGAGGAGGAGGAGGAGGAGGAGGAGGAGGAGGAGGAGGAGGAGGAGGAGGAGGAGGAGGAGGAGGAGAGGAGGAGGAGGAGGAGGGAGGAGGAGGAGGAGGAGGAGGAGAGGAGGAGGAGGAGAGGAGGAGGAGGAGGAGGGAGGAGGGAGGAGGAGGAGGAGGAGGAGGGAGGAGGAGGAGGAGGAGGAGGAGGAGGAGGAGGGAGGAGGAGGAGGGAGGAGGAGGAAAGGAGAAGAAGAGGAAGAAGAAGAAGAAGAAGAAGAAGAAGAAGAAGAAGAAGAAGAAGAAGAAGAAGAAGAAGAAGAAGAAGAAAAAGAAGAAGAAGAAGAAGAAGAAGAAGAAGAAGAAGAAGAAGAAGAAGAATAATAAGAAGAATAATAAGAAAAAGAAGAAGAAGAGGAGGAGGAGGAGGAGGAGGAGGAGGAGGCGGAGGCGGACGGGGAAGCGGAGGCGGAGGCGGAGGCGGTGGAGGAGGAGGAGGAGGAGGAGGAGGAGGAGGTGGAGGGGGAGGAGGATTGTTGGACCATGACGATGACGATGAAGATGACGGGGATGAGGATGACAATGATGACCATGATCATGACCCTAGCTAGAACTTGAGCGCGCGCGAAGCGCGAGCGATGGTTATAGTATGTATATCTTTACACGTGACTTTGAGATAGCTGTTCCTTCGCGCTTGTATTCTATCACGCTGTATGTACGCATTTCTTGGTTAGCCCAGCTGGCAAACAGTTTCCGGACGTGTATCATTTGGATTCCCTTTCCACTCTGTCCTTCCTCTCCTGTCCACTGCGTAACCCAAGACCCCACTCGAGAAGCGCCGCGCGCGCCTGCCGCCACAGCGCGGCATGGCGGCGTGCGGGAGGGAGGTGGGCTGCCACGCCGCGTGGTGGTTCGAGGTCCCAAAAGGCCCGCGCGCGCTCCCGCAATGGGACGATCCCTTCCTCCCCCCCCCGCCTCCTCTTCCGCCTGCTCCGCCTCCGCCTCCGCTTCCTCCTCCTCCTCCTTTTCAGTTTCTCCTCCTCTTCCTCATCCTGCTCCTCCTTTTCCTTCTCCTCATCCATCCATCATCCATCCATCCAGCCATTCATCCATCCATCCATTTCCTCCTCCCGGCCCCCGCCCCCCCGTCCTCCGTCCCCCGTCCCCCTTCCCCACTCTCCTCCCCTCCTTGTTTTCCTTTTCGTTGTCGTCCTCCTCTCCCTCCTGCTCCTCCTCTTCCTCGCCCCCCCTCCTCATCGTGGCGAGGTGGGGGATGGAGACGACGAATGGGGTCCGCGGAGAGGGAAAGGGAACGAGAGTCCCTGCGGTCGTGGGCGCGTCGCGCGGGGGCACCCTGCATTCCGCGCGGATGGGGCGCGATTCCGACGCCCGACGCCGTGGCAAAACAGTTGCGGCGTGAAATGCGCAGAATCGAATTTTGACCCCGTCTCTGCGCCAGATCTCTCGAGCCCTGCCAGTCCGAAGGGCTCCACGTCGTTCGTTTTGTTTTTTGTCTGCTCGGTATGTTTTGGGCTGCTTTGTCTTCGGCACGCCTACCGCATGTTAGGCGAGCGACGTAGAGAGGGACCGTCGGCAGTGCGGTTCTTCGCGCTTGCGCTGCAGTGGCCTTTGGCCCACGTCGTGCGCTGCCCCTGCGGCCCGCGCAGGCCGCCGCGCAGGGCTGCCGTACCCTCGCGCGCCAAGCCATCTGCCTCTCTCTGGCGGCGCGCGATCATCTCTGCGCGGTTCGGGGCGCGATTCTCACTGCGCCCGTGTGGACCTCGGCTCGGCAGGAAGGGCGGGGGGGGGGGGGGGGGGGGGGGGGGCGGCGCCCCGAGGACCCGCGACGAGGAGGAGAAGCGGCGGCGAAAGGACGACGAGCGGAAGCTGAAGCGCCTGAAGCAGGAGGGCTGCGCCGCGTGCTTTTTCGCCGCCAGGGGCGCCCGCCCCATCCCCCCGCGGCGGATCTGGAAAGGGGCACGCCCTGAGGCCCCCTTCTTGTTCAGTCCGAATGGGATTGGGCGTTGGGCGTTGGGGGTCGGCGAGGGCCAGGAAGAGGACGATGAGGCGGGGGAGTAGGAGCAGGAGGAGCAGGAGAAACAGGATACATGTATGGAGTGCGGAGGAGGAGGAGGAGGAGGACGAGGAGGAGGAGGAGGAGTAGGAGGAGGAGGAGGAGGTCATCGCCGCGCGCACCCGCCGTTTCACCTCTCCCCGACTGCTTTTATGGTTCGGCACTACTGGTCTGCACCCGCGGCGCGACCTGCGGAGGCAAAACAGGAGGACAACGAGGAGGAAGAATAAGAAGAGGAGGAGTAGGAGGATGAGGAGTATTTGGGTGAGGATGTTGCTACTGCTTTTGCTGACGATGACGATGATGGTGAAGATGATGGTGATGGTGATGATGGTAGTGATGATGATGATGATGATGATGATGATGATGATGGTGATGCTGCTGGTGATGATGATGAGCATGAGGATGAGGACAATGATGCTGATTCTGACGATGATGTTGATGGTGGTGGTGGTGATGGTGATGACGGTGATCGTAGTGGTGGTGTTTGTGGTGGTTTTGTTGCAGTTGTCATGATGATGGTTGTGGGGATGATGATGATAATGGCCATGAGGAAGACGATACTGCTGATGATGATAACGCTCATGATGCTGATGATGTTGATGCTGATTATGCTTTATGATGATGATGATGGTGTTGATGATGATGCTGATGAGGACGACGATGATGATGAATATGAGGACCATGATGGTGATGATGTGGAGGCTGATAATGATGACCATGACTATGATGCTGATGACGACATGACGACGAAGATGATGATGGTGGTGGTGGTGGTGTTGATGACGACGATGATGCCGATGACGAGGATGACGGTGATGATGAGGATGCTGGTGGTGGTGATGATGACGATAACAGTGACGATGATGATGGTGATGGCGATGATGATGATGATGATGATGATGATGATGATGATGATGATGATGATGATGATGATGATGATGATGATGATGATGATGATGATGATGATGATGATGATGATGATGATGATGATGATGATGATGATGATGATGATGATGATGAGGATGATGATGATGATGATGATGATGATGATGATGATGATGATGATGATGATGATGATGATGATGATGATGATGATGATGATGATGCTGCTGATCATGATGATGACGCTGATGATGATGGTGTCGGTGGTCATGATGATGCGGATGACGGAGATGATGACTATGAGGGGATGGACGAGGACCAGAGCAAACACAGGATGAACCAACGATGCTGCTGTACACCCTCGCGTTGCAAATCAGCTTCCCTTAAGTCCCGACGACGATTGTCCCTTGCGGGAAGCGTTCCCTTCAACATGGCAAGTATGTATTTAGGATGACAGAATTCGAGGAAGTTCCCAGCGATAACACCGTTGCGAAAAGGATCTGCCTTCTACCCCTTTAACTATGGCGCAGTTTCTCAGTTCTAGCTGTGATGTGTGGGAAAATGTTAAGCGATAACACTCTTTTGAAAAGGAGCCGCCCTCCGTATTGAAATACTCAAGTCGTATTTTAGAAACGACGACTAGCTCTCAGCCCGCGTAACTTTTGCATTGGTCTAACACGAACGCGCGCCGCGCTAAGGCGAGAGTTGCATTATGGCACCGACCGGCCCTCCACAGTGCAGGATAGCAGCTCCACGGAAGTCAAGTGAAACGCCCGGCCCAGCTTGTCCCCCTCCTGTCGCTGTCTCTTGGGCCGCTGCGTCGAACCGTAGTCTCGTCTCGTCCGCCCTCCCCCTCGTCAGGGCTCCCCGTTATTCCTGTTCGGATGTCCTTCGGGTAGTTTCTTCGTGGACCCCCTTCCTTGCCTCTGGTGGTCCCAACGGGCCGTCCATGGTGGCCTCCTGCGGCCCCCACCTGTTCTCTCGGGCAGATCCCCCGCAGGACGAACGCGGGCGTCAAGGAGTCGGTGAACGGGCTGGGCAACACGTCGCTATGCGTGGCGTCTCGCTTCACTTGCGTGTGCTTCGGACCAGTTCTTTTCACTACGGCCAGTCTCCCGCTGGCGGGTACCCGTGTGCGCTCGCGCTTACCTCCAGTCCCCGTTCGGACTGTGCCGCTTCTGGCTCCCTTCCCTCTGGCCCCCTGCCTCGTCTTGGAGGCCCGCGTCCAGCTCCACGTTAAGGCTGGCCGCCGGCCCCTTGCGCCCCTGGCCTGTCCCTCGGTGGGCGCCTTGCGGGCCTCTCTGGCTTGCCCGTTGGCCGCCGCCGTTTCCGGTGTGCCATTCGGATTGCCGGCGTCGCGGCCCTGTCGCAGTCGCCTGCAACCTTTGCGGTCCGCCTGTCACCACTGTACGGCCTCTGGCCTTTGCGCCCTTCTGCCGACTCCCGTTGGCGCCGCTTTCCTCGTCCCTGGCCTCCGTCCCCCGCCCATCTGGTCTTTAGGTCGATCCTCGTTCTCGCCATGGCATCACGTTGGACCAGCTACGGTGGCCGTTGACCAACTCAAGACGCATGCTCCTCCGCAGGCTCCTTGTATGGAATGGCCGCCCCGCAGTTGATGGGGGTGGTGTACTCGATGCGCCGCTGACGGCACCACCACCCGCTTTCCGCCTCCCGGGACTTCGCCACCGGGTTCCTGTCCAGGGCGTACCTTTTCTTGCACTTCGATTTCGGCACCGCCTGATCCCAGGGCTTTGCCCTCTCTTGGCCTTGACGTGAGGCCCCGCCTTCTTCTGCCCCCCCTCTGCTAATTGAAGCTGTGCGTGGCCCGCTTAGCTTCTATCGGAAGAGGCTCGCTCTCGACCCGCGGATAAGAAAAACAGTATTTTCGCAGCACTCACGCACAATAGTTAAATCAAGCTCGCAGCGATTACCCGCGCCACTACCGGCGGGAGAGTTGGCCTCCTGCAAGAATCCCACTGGTCGGAGCATGGCGCTGTGGTATGGGCTGCCATGTTCCCAGCCCGCCGCTGAATCGCGGCCCCGGCGTACAGGGGGCCTGGCGGGGGCTGGGCTGGCGGCGTTGCCATCATCTTCCCGTGTGACTGCGAGCTCCTTCCCTGGAGTACCCTCGTCCCAGGCAGTGTGGTCACAGCGCTGGCATGGCAAGGCGCTACTACCAGTCGGTTCGTCTCCGTGTATCTACCCCCGGGAACCCAGGAACTGGGAACCAGGAGCCCGGGAACCCAGCGTGCAACAAAATCGGCGAGGCACTCTCGCCAATTCTAGCAACATCCGCGAGGACCCCTTCAGTGCAAGCAATGATTGGGCCTTGACAATATACATGTGCACCTCGGCCTCGACATGTACATGGGTACCGAAGTCTGAGAATTTGCATGGGAGCCTCGGCCTCAAAGCTTACATTGGCGCGGGGCGGAGGCGAGGAAACACAAGGTTCTGTGTCCTCCTCCTCCTCCGGCCGAGATGCTTTGCCACAGATTGACATTCTTGCCTGCCCCACCGCCACAGCGGGGCTCTATACCATCCGGAAGACATGGAAAATGGTCCTGTCCGACCACGCCGTGCTCTATGTCGACCCCACTACCCAGCCCAGCACGAAGCGACAGGACACCCTCACCCCCTGGGCGTTCAAAGAGCTACCCACTGAAGCTCACGACGACCCGCGCCGGATCTACGCCGCGCTGGAGCAGTTGGTCGGGGTGCCCAGGAAAGACCTCTTCAGCCTCGTGCGACCGGAGCAGTGGAACCGCCCGGCTGCACCCGGGGAGCTACCCTTGGCCCGCCCGGCCAACGATGCTCTCCACGATGCTGACCAGCCTGTTACCCGGCCGACCCCTTCGCCGGCGGTAACGGTAGCGTAGCCAGCGCCCCGCCCCGCCTCAACAAGCTGATCCTGTTCGGCCGACGCGCCCTCTCCGCCGCCCTTCGCGCCTGGTGGACTCGTCGGGGCCACAAGACCAGGCGCCAGGGGCCAGGTTATGCGCGGCGCCGCGCGCGGCGCGATGGCACCGGACTTCCGGCCCAGTGGGTCCCTTGCGGGCTGGATGGCGGCCCGCGGATGGCAGGGCGGCGACCTTGCTCCCGACGAGGTCCATCGCTGGAACGCACGCTGGCGCATGAAACAGGACCAGCGCAGCGCTGCCCGGCTCTCCGCCTGGCAGCGCGGCGCCGCCGTGGGGCGCGCGCCCCTGGCTCCGCAGTGCCGCGTCGGGCGTGGGATATTTCAGAAGACGCACCCACTGCGGGGCGTTCGCGACGAGCGCGGCAACTGGCAGGACCGGGCTGCTGAGCTGGACGCCACCCTATGGCGCGGCCTAGCCGGCATCTGGCAGTCTGCCCCCCCTTTTGCCAGAGTGCTCGCATCAGCTCCTGGACAGTTGCTTCGCCGTCGGCCAGGGTCGCAGTTGCCGACCGCCCGTGCCCGTCATGGGGCAGGCTCGCCTCCTTAATCTTCGCGCCTGCCGGCGGCGCTCCAGGGATTGTCGGGGGGCCCTACGAGGTATATCACGCGGGCGCTGCGTTCGTGGCATGCCTCATTGCGACAGCGTGGTGCGCGGCCGATGCGGACCCGGCGCTTCTCGATGCTGTTTTAGACCCGCCTGTGGACCTCCTTGAGGATCCTCAACATCCCTGGCGCTGAACGCCCAATGGATCTGCGTCCTTTGTAACTGCATACCTGTATGCGACGACTCTTCGGGGCCTCGCTTGCGGACCTCCCGGGGCCACTGGTGGGGCCGCAGCTCAGTCGGGGCCAGGCGGCCAAGCGGGGTGGCCAATGCGGTCCGAACATCCGCAAGGCCACTGACCATCTAGCCACCGCCCCTGCTGGGCCTGTCGGCCCAAGGCCCAGCTGGCGAAGGGTCCTCGGCCAGCGCGGCGTCCCAGTCGACGACGACGTGCAAGACGCCGCCGCCTACATCGCGGATGC